AGATAATAATATAATCGCCTAAAAACCTATATCTTTTCAAAATATTATTCAAAATTAAACTAAATAAGCACAACATAAAAAAATAAAAGATAAACCAAAAATATAAAACCCAAAAGGTAAAAAACAACCCAACACATACTCATTAACATATCAAAACGAAAACGTGGATAAGCTCTACGAGAAAAAACAATAAAACAAACAATAAAATAAAAAAACAAAAAACTCATATTGAAAAATAAACTAGAAGTTAAACAACTAAAATATAATAAATTACCATATTCACCTAAAAACAAACCAGCAAAACCAACTCTAGAATATTCAACATTAAAACCACTAACCAACTCGCTCTCACATTCAGAAAAATCAAAAGGAGCACGATGCTAAATCAATCAAAACTAAACAAAAAAAGGAAAAAAAATATAAAAAAAAACAAACAAAAACTAAAAGACAAACAAAGACCCTTATTAAACAATAAAAAAATAAGCAAATACACAGAAAATGCAATCTCATAAGAATAGCTTTGAGCACAAGAACGTATACCACCAACAAATGAATACTTACCACCTCTAAAAATACCAGACAACATAACAAAATATACAGAAACACCTATTAAACAGAACAAAAAAATTCCAGAATACTCAAAAGACAAAAAAATAAAAAAATAAGGTAAAGTAAACCAAAAAAAAACTATTAGAACAAAACCACAAATAGGCATAAACAAAAAAGAAATCCAAGAAGAAAAACAAAACAAAACCTGCTCCTTCTTAAACAATTTTAAACCATCAAACAATGCCTGAAAAACCCCAGAATATCCAACCTTATTAGGACCAATACGACATTGAGAACTACCCAAAAAATGACGCTCTAACACAACCAAAAACGCCACAGCTTGCAAAATAAAAACAATTATAATTATAATACCAAAATAATAAAAAATAAACAAAGTAAAATCCCAAGAATTTACAATTCTCTATTCTATATAAACTAATACTTTTTAAAAAAATAGAGACAAGTTTCCTTACCTCTACCATACTACAACTTACGCCCCTTTAGGCCATTGACGGATGGTTTGTACCACTTTATTTATTAAATTCATCAAAATATCAAAATTTAATTACTTTCTTTTCCAATTTCACAAAATATTAAAAAAAAGATCCAAAAAAAAATTAATAATAGTAACACATGATTAACAAGCTTATAAACCAAATATATATCTGTTTTTCAATTAAACAAAAAAAAGCATCACAAAATAACATAAAAACTAAACAATCATACATGTGCCAATAAAACTCACTAAGAAAGAGGACTCTCCATACACATGTTCCAAAGAAAAATCTAAAGTCAGTCAATATTTTTTCGGTTTAAACAAAACTTTACTCCCGAATTAATAAATTTTGATTACCTGGGTACTAATCCAGTTCAACAAACAAATTTTCAATATCTTTAAAAATATAATAAAATTAAAACATTTTACAAAAATAATATAAAAAAAATAAAACAAAAAAAGATACTACAATAAATAGAGTTAAAAATTAAAATGTATAGCCGATTATTCTGGAACACTAATTAAACAAACAAAAAAACTAACCAGTGGATAAAAAAATTAACACATTAAATAAACTAAAATAAAGTAATACTAT